TTGTGGTTACACCTCTCAGATGTGGCCTCCTGCTACACGCAGGACTATTTTGCCTCTGATGGTATAGAAATAAGGGCTGCCCAGCCCTGCCACCGCCTGCGCGCTGGCTGCGAGGGCAAGAGGCTGTGGGACTGTGCGCCACTCTTGAGGGGACAGGTCTGCAAGGGGTTAACGAGTAGGTGGGCTGGGACGGCGCATGGGGAGAGGGGTGGGTGAATAGATGACAGGAGGGTGAGAGCAGAGCACGCAGCAGTCAGGTGTAGATTTGGGGATGGGAGGGGGATAGTGGTTATGGTAGTTGGGGGGATAGTGGTTATGGTAGTTGGGAGTGGGTGAGGATAGGGCAGTTGTGGTAGTGGGTGCAACAGGGGGACATAACTTGGTGCCCAGAAAGGCCAAGCGCATACTTCTTGAAAAGCTATCAGTGCCTCGATCTCCTCCAAAGCTGCCTTGAGAAGTCTCCCCTACCTGTAAACCCAGCACTTGTGTCGTCTGGGTTGGCCGGCCAGGAGGGCTGAGGGTCCACAGGCTCCAAAGCACAGGCCGTTGCCCGGCGCTCTCACACAGAGCCAGGAGCTGAATTTCAAGCGGAGGAGTTTGGCAGCTGTTCCCTCCGGCCATCCCCGTTCCTTGCTGCACCCAGACCTGTTTGATGTCATCAGATGCATTTTCCCATTGGCCAAGAACTACCATCCAGGGCAAATCCACCATCCTGCACTAAGTACATGCTACAGAGGAGGCAGAGGGGCACATGGTTGCTTCTCGTATAAAATTCCTTCTTACGAATTTTCCTTCACCACCACTGTCTCCACACTGTTGGTGGTGGTGCACTGGGACAGTGGAACCAAGGAGAAAGAGTGCTGCAAGTGCTACAGTTAGGCGGGGGGAAGATTTACTCTGAAGTTTTACCAAGCCATCGTGATGGGCTATTCTGGATACTGGAGTTACACTTCACTAATTCCTCAAACTGGACCCCAAACCAGCTCTTTCAACCCAGTAGGACCAAAGTGCTCTGACTTCTAGCCATGAACATCAGTGCTTGGTACATGAATTTATAGGAGACTAATGTTACAGAAAATTACATAAATTTCTTGAAATTAATAGAAATTACAGAAATTAATGTTAACCCAGATGTGCAGTTTGGGCCTACGCTGCCTGTGATAAATTCCCATTTTTATCAACTGCTCCAAACCAACTTGAAAGTTCCTCTGTTTGAATGCTGCTTAGAGCATGACCAAAGTTTGCAAAATACATCATGTAAGAATGGAGGTAGGACTTTCATAGTTGTTTGAACCTTGCCTGATGCACCAGGAGCTGCTTTTTCCTTACTGGGCTCTGTCCCCCTCGCTCCACTCCTCAAGCCGTCATGAAGTCACCAGCCATGTAAATGCCTGCGCAAACGTACTGAACATGAGTCATGCGGCATCTGTTGCTATTTATTAAACTGTGGTTTATATCTTTGGAGTACATCGTATTATCCTTTATGGATGTGGCTTTATCTCTGTTATTACAATACGGAATTAATTAAGAATATTAAAGTTTGTGTTTAAAAAAAATGATATTCCTAACCTTTATCTATGGAGGCAACATTTTCATATCCTTTCTCTCCTAATGGCAGCATCCTTTGGGAAGATGTGATAGACACATTTAGGTAAATATTATTCCTCCAGCACACATGGTTTCCATTGCAATCTATCCCCTGCTGTTTCCTTCCAAGCACTTTCCTCTGTTACATATTCCACAATGGTGGCTGAAATACTGATCAGCGATAGCAGAGACAAATTGACTCCAGCAACTGGGAGTTTTAAGGGCAACAAATGTTTATATCTGAGGTTTGCATGTACCGTAGTTACTGAAATACAGTTTTTAGGCGTGCACCGAAATTTTCTCTGGCATCGAAAGTCTAAAGCTGCTGGAGGCAGCTATAATTTAATAAAAGGACAGAGTGAATAAAAACTGAGTGAGATGGGACACAAAGATAGTGCACTACAAAACAGCCACATGGGCCCAAAAGCTGTGGAGATGCTCGCTCCCGTAGCCTCCCCTTCAGCTTGTGAGCAGCCTGGGTGCTCCACATAGACCTGGCACCAAAGCTGCACCTGAGCCACTCGTGAGCTGCCTGAAGCTCAGGGCTCCCAAGCTGCCCACTGCAGGCCAGCAGAGAGTTAATTCTACATGCTTTTAAAGTTGCACCACCATCGGCCATCAGCCATCGGAAAAGGTTCCTTAGCAGCTGATAAGACCAAGAAGCTGGGAAAAAGCAGGGTGGGAACAACTTTATCCAGTGACTGTGTTTCCTCAAACACATGTCAAGCTATAGCTCTAGATGCAGCGGGGTGATAAAACATTTTCCCTCACCCAGCATTTGCTGGGCACCATTGGACTGTAGTGGGATGTCACGCCAAATCAGACTGAAGCCAGCATGCCCACCAGGTGCTAGGTGCTGCACAGAGGTAGGAGGAGAATCGGTGCGTACGCTTTTACCACCAGCATATTTGCGGCATCTTCTAAGTCTCGAGCACATGAACAGAATTGGACATGAAGGTATGCCTGTGTCCTACCTATTTGTCTGTGCTAGCGTGAGGAATGTGCTTATGGGGACACAGGCTCTAAGAATGCACCTTCTCATTGGCAGGGGGTGAACTGAATGTCCCACAGAAGCCATTTGCTGTGGCATCAGCAGATTGAACATCAGGATTCTTTGAAGCTGGACTTCCCTTTTTCTTGATTTTTTTTCTGTTATTATTTGTTAACCACCATGTGCTCAAAACTTTCAAGGCCGGATGATATGGTCTCTGCTCACAGGTTCTAACTGCGGGTTTGGTGCTGGAACTTGTATGTATAGAAGGGGACACTGCCATACCCTGCACCATCTGCCGAGGGGCTGGAGCTGACTGCCTGGCAGGCAGTCGTACAACAAGAGCTTCATGGAAAACTCTGCAACATGAAAGGAGCATCGCATGACTAAAATACACAATACTGGTTGTTTGTTTTGTTTTTTTTTTTACCAGGAGAGATTTTAAGGACAGGAAGATTTTTCCAACACAAACTGGAATCACTTCAACTTTTGCATTCTCTCGCTGTTTCTTCCTGAAGAAATGAATGACCCCAGGCTGGCCCTTGCCCTTGCTTTGGGGAATGTACTTCTGATTCGTATCTCAGGAGACTGAGAGATATGGAATAAACACTCATTACCTCTTGCTAATGTAAAGCACCACACAGCAGATGCCCAAAGCCCCGCTCAGTGGGGTCGATGTAAAACAATAGCGGACCCCTGGCAGGACCTTTCCTTCAACTTCCACGGGACCCAATGGAGAGAACGGTCTGTGGCTGTCCATTTAAAAAGCCTTGCTTTCACAAAGCCTGCAGCAGTGTGGCCATCACGAAGAAGAGCCTTCTTGTTGTGCTAACTAGGAATTCTCATTACTTGATATCGCGATCAGAGTCCCTCGAGCCTCAGCGCAAGCAGCAGGGGTCACAGCGCATGAGAAAGCCCCCATGCAACGGCATTGCCGTGGGTTAATGGAGTACTAATGAGCTGAAAGGTAAGATCCTGCACCAGGAAACACAGGACCAGATCTTGAAAAACATAGCACAAGCCCAGGTGAGAGCACAGGTACCTTTACTTGGGGGGTTACCCCAGCTGCTACAGGGGTCCGCGTTGAGATAGGTAGGCTACAAGGAGTCAATGGCAACGCCCCAAGAGCTGTTGTTTCCCCTCAGCAGTTTGGGCTAAGAGGAAAACTCAATGCAGCATCACACAGAGGCTGCAGCACGTCTCTCCTGCGCAAGACCAGGGACCTCCCCTTGCGGGGTGTCAGGTCAGCAGTGATTTGGGCTTTCCCTGACCATGCTACAGAAGAAGAGGCATGATATAGTCAGTGCTTCCAGTGAAACACTATGTTGCCGTCTTTTACAGCCTGAAATGTTACTAACCCCCACCTATTTTTCACAATCCGCATCTACATTTTTAGCAAAGGGCAGATGCAGGAGGCTCTTGAGACCGGACTCTCTCTTCTATGCCTGTGAGCCTGCAAGTGCAGCCACAAAGTGTCCTCCAAGATCTAAGTGTCCAAGGGGCCTGGGTGCATTCGTACACTGCTGAGCACACTCACGAGTTCTCCTCAGGAGTGGGAGATGATGCTAGGTGAGCTGAAAGTGGGGAACACTTGCATTTGTTCCTTTGGTTGCAGTAAAGACTTAGACAACTAAAGATAAAAACTTCACAGCATGCTTAGAATAAACATAGTCATTCTTTATCATACAGAGTAATGCCATATACATAAATAATTTGAATGTCTCGCTCTTTCATGGAAAGTAACAGAGAAAAACCTTCAAGGTTGATACATGGGAGCTGGCATTACAAGTCACATAGGGTCAAACCCAAATCCTGCATCCAAACATCCAGACACTTGGTTCCAGAGTTGACCTATCCACCGCCTCCCTCCCCTGCCCTGGAAGGACCTGAATCAGGACCCTCCTTGGAAGACCACTCCCATCATCAACCTCTGGTTATGGATCCCAACCCTGCAACCTCGACCTGTCGCTGAAATCCAGTCCTTTATATTTGTAGTGGTACAAAATCCTGGTCGGCAGCTGCAGAAGGAGCCATTGCCTTCTCCAAGGTGCATTATCCGTAGGTTTTCGGAGGTGACTGAACTAAGTAAGCCTACCCAAGCCTACCCTTGCAGCTATCTCTACTTCTTGGCTGACAAGCTGGTTACTGAAGCAGCAAGGTTAGGCATTGCACAGTCTAGCGACATTTGACTAAAACTGGGAGCGTTTATGCAGAATAGCAGTGTGGGAACAGATAAAGAAGCTAGCAGGGCTGCGATGAGAAATCTGAGCTTTGATCAAGGAGACAGCAGCATTTGACTCTATCCGAGCTGGCAGGGAGATCCCATCCCAAAGCAAAATAAAACATGTCATTCTTTTCAGCAGATGAAATTCTCCCCAGTGGTTTGTTCCTCCCAGGATCATATTATGTGATCTCATTGTCTTTAAAGTCTTTTCCCTGAGGAAGCCGATCGTTTAATATAGACTACAGCGTTAGCATCCGGTATTAAATCAGTCAGGCTACTCTGAAACGAGGCGAGTGGGCGTCCTGGAAAGGAAATAAAAATACAAGTTTAATGGAGGAGATAGGTTCACCTTGACCCACGCTATTTATTGCAAAAGACAGAGGAACACGCTGCTCGCTCAACAGAGGGCCACTCCACCCTGCCATAGACGTGTCTTACACTCCCAGTAACCTCCAGATGCTCACCGAGTGCGCACAAGGAACGCATGATCGGGCCCCAGAGGCTTTTATGTCTTTCTTTGCTTTACAGAGTTGCCCGAAGAGAGACTAGCATGTTCCCACAGGTCTCATTAATCCAAACGGCAAAGTCAGGCACTCTGCATTTCAGCCCCTCGCTTTTAGCATCTTTGGCTGCAAAAATGGGTTGCAAAAACGTGAGGAGGGAAAACGTCAGGAAGGGAAACGTTAACAGACCGCAGGCGCAGTGCGGGATGGCAGGGATCAGCATCCAACCCATGCACTGCAGAAAAGGTCTTCTGTCCCGTGAGCTGCTTCTCCTGCATCCCCACCGCTGTTTTACGCGGGGTTCCTTCCAGCCAGGCACCGAGCACCGCAACGAACAGCTGCCCCGTGAGGAGCCAGATGTGATGCATTAGGCACAACTCACACAATCCACTGCTGGTGTGAAACCGGCTCAAAGAGATTTATGTTGCATCACTGTAAGCACTCTTATGTCACTAGTTAGCTACACGCCAATTGCACACGCACCCACGGAAAAGCTGCTTTTTTGGTAGTTTGGGTGGTTTTTTTTTTTAAATGTCATGTAAGCCAAGAAGACACAATTCTTTAGCACCATCGTGAGTGAAAACACTCATTTACCTCATTTTGCGTTTCACTTTACAAGTAACAATTTAGCCCACGATTGAAGTGTCAGCTAAATGAGGTAATTTATAATAATTCTGAAAACACGCTAACCGTAAGAGGCTATAATCACAGCTAATTACAGGGACATTTTGGAAATCCATTGGTTTGGGGCTTTAGTTTTGATAAAGGGGATAACAACTTGTAAGCTATGATTCTTTTAATTATAACAATAGTAACCACCTTCTTTTACATAGCTTCTTTCATCTCTAAAAACCCCACAGCTTTTTGCAAACTATACACACCACAGGAATCGTTTAGCCTAACACCAAAGCGAAGCCATCTCTGCCCAAAATAAGTAACTGTTTAACAATACCTAGCTGTCCTGTGCAAAATTTGTAGAGGAAAGAAGCTGCAGAATGACGATATAATTTCCCTTGTGTGTCCTAGCAAATACTCAGGGGATCCTTGGATGCCCACCACAGCAGCCACCTGATCTAGAGAATAGGGAAGGCAACTTTTGTATGCGCCTGTAGACTCAAGGCACTACAGAGGAGAGCAGCAGCATCATCCCCACTCGTGACCGAGGAAGCAGGGGCACCACGTGGCAGCATCCTGTCACACCTGCCCAAGCTCACCTGTCCACGTCCTCCGCTGGGTGATGATAAAGCTTTGACACTGCGCTTGGGAGTTACAAATTGCGGCGGCTTCCTCGGCGCTGTAAACGGAGAGCAGGCATCCCAGGTGGCTGTAGGAGGGCCAGCACTTGTAGTCTTCTCCTTCCACCCTTCGGAAGCCCTTTAGGGTGATGTAGTCTGGGAACAGAAAGAGGGTGTTGAGGGAAACTCCTCTTAAACTCTTTAAGTTACACTATACACTTAGTATGTTGCACTTCAGTGAAACTCATAGAATGGTTTGGCTTGGAAGGGACCTTGAAAGGTCATTGAGTTCCAACCCCCCTTCCATGGGAAAGGACACCTCACGCTAGACCAGGTTGCTCAAAGCCCCATCCAGCCTGGCCTTGGCCACCGCCAGGGATGGGGCATCCACAGCTTCTCTGGGCAACCTGTGCCAGTGTCTCACCATCATCTTAAAGGAAATGAGATAGTGATAAATTGAACTGACCTGCTTAGATGGAGTGGGTGGAGCTGCAAAGTTAAAAGAAACCCAAATTCTGACTTTTGGTTCTGCTGTGGAGCACAGGACAGCAATTCCCCCACAAATATAAGAGAGGGGGCAGAGTCCTCAAGGATGAAGGCACAGGGGAGTGACTGCAGGGGTGGGTGAGGGGGGAGGCTGCTGTGCGGACCCACAGACCCTCTGCTGCTTCTCTGGAGTAGCCAACCTCACAACGGCCTCTCCTACACCTCAGCCCCAACAGCAGAACCAGCTCATACCAGATCCAGCATGCAGCTACGTGGGGCACACGCTGACACACCCATCATGGTGCCACCCAGAGGTACATGAGATTTTGGAATCCCAGTGGGGGAAAGTCAGGCCAAATCCTGAGCAGGTGACATTCAGGCTATTGTTCATTAACTGCTAAGAGTCTCTCCCCACCTCCCCACACCTCTAGGACGGTGATCATATTAGCACATTGCTACTGGGCCAGTTGCAAAGCCAACAGATGGGTGTTGCTCGAAAATACTAGTAATTGCTGTTAAAGCTGATGGTCCTTCAGTGCAAATGACTGGATATTTTTATTTATAATGGTGCAAATTCCAGTTCTTTCACATGTAAAGAGATTTTCTTCTGCCAGCCACCATCACCACCCTGCTCTCTCAAGTGAATGCTCAGGAAAATGTAAGCCTCAGTAACCACTGGACTGTTGAAGCCTTCCTTTCAATTAGCCTCATCTCTACCACCGAATGGGTCCGTTTCAGAGAAATGCACCTCATACAGGCTCATTTATCCATCCACAGGTACAATAGGATGGCCTTCAGAAAAAAGAAATTTAGAGGGCAACAAGGCCCCAGCTACTGTGCCACACTCATCTCGGTGTTGTCACCTCCCCAGCGTACATCCCCATAATAACCTGTGCTCAGCAGGCAGAGGCCACCAAGTGAAAGGGGAAGTTTCAGTATCAGCCCAGAAAACTGATCTATTGGTCCATAGGATAAGGTGGCCCCAAAAAGAGACAGGAGACATTCCGTTTGCTACACCGGTCTAGTTGCTTAAGCTATCCCAAATATACTCACTTGAAACACTGATGCACATTATGAGAAGAGTATTTAGAAGCAGTGCAAACATATGTCCATATGTAGGCCAGATTGTCTGCACTGCATTTACTTTGCAAAACAATGCAATCATGCATAGCTCCCATGAAAAAACAACAAAAGACCGCTCAAAAAAAGATACTTTTGGTGCTTTTCCTAGTGACTATACGCCGCCTGAATGTATGTGAGATCAGAATTTGACCAGTTACCAAGTTCCTCGCTCCCTCTGTAGTCACGTTACTTAAAGCATTTAAAATCATGTACCTTTTAAAAGAAGAGGTCTTTTCTGTAGATAGAGCCCAGACTTGTACAGATGTAAAACCTTTTCAAAAGCTTTCAGGGTTTCATTTACTCCGTATCGTAAATCACCTACATTTAAAGAAAAAAAAAATGACAAAGATGAGTAATTCCATGAAATACCATTTAGAGATTTCTAATGAAGAAGGTTATGAATATCAGCTGGTACCTGTTGCATTCAGAATATCGCTCAAAAAGGGCCGCAAAGCCGGTGGTGCAGAGTGTGGCAAGAGATAGGTGAAAAAATACCTGCAAAAAAATCCCACAGCCTGATTAGAATACCGTTGCTTCATTTCCCTAGGGATTAAGTTGTCTACATTTTCCCGTGACTCGATTATCCATATGCAACTACTAAGTCTGCTTTGGTTATTAAGCCATGTTTGAGGACTTCATTGGCATCTCCCAGACTGTTCCTGTGAGCTGGGCTGAGAGCTTGGTCCTTGCAGCACTGCACGTAGCCAAGCGCTGCATGAAATCTACCTCGCAAAGGCTCACACAACGGAGCCTTCCCTCATTCCCCGGGGGCGTTTTTGGGCACTAATCGATGCATTTCCCATCAAAAAAAAAAAAGACCTATATGAAAGAAGACTCATGCAAGACCTTTCCCTTGCCCTGAAAAGGTTTGGCGTTCTTATTAACCCTGGAAAGGCAGGACTACTCATTCCCTCAACCTTCTAGAGAACTCCTGTTCTACAAAAGACAAGTGCGTCACCGCAAGGCTGCAATAATCTATGCAGGGATTTGCCCTTTAACACCGAGTCCTGCAAATTCAAGCTCCCTTACTAAGTCCTTCTGTGTAAATGTCCAGCTGCCAAGAGTTCCACCAGTACACGACCTGCCACGCATCAACAGTGAATGGAAGCCATCGTGCTATCACCTGATGGCCGACACAAAGTGCTGCAGAAGTCTCAGCCCCTTGCCCGTTACCTGTTCCACGGCTCTTCCGTAGGTGCTCCTCATCTCCATAGGGAGTCTCAGAGTTCAAGGGAAGAGTTAGCGAGCCTGTTCCCACCACCGGGGCTCAAAGCTAGTGGGCTTTGGCAGGTAGCCCACGCTGCCACTGCTTTCAGCAAACACAGCCCGTGGATGTCAAGTGCCAGGGCTTGTTTGGCAAATACCAAATTCACAGGTGCAACCTCTGGGGCAAGTTTCTAGAGGGCGTTGGGGAAAGGGAGCCGCAGGAGAAAGATGCCTTCAGTCTCACCAGACAACAACCACACGGTTTTCCTGCCTTATAAGGAAAATCAAGTTGCTTCAAAGCGATCCTTAACTACCCTTTGACAGCGGTGAGGGGCAATCACTGCATGGAAGAAACGCGAGATGCTAGAGGCTACATGGCACTGTGTGAGCAAAACCACACCAGATTTTCCCCCGTCTCGCTGGACGTACCGATATGCATTGAAAAGGTTCTTCTTTTCATTTATTCCTTCACATTTCCCAACCGCAGAGCATTTGAGAGGGAAGCTTTTTGTAGGGAAGTCGAGTGTGCAGTCATTATCTTCCTTGCATGACAGTTCCTCAGTGCTGGCATCATCCATGTCTGTCACTTTTAGGTTTCCATCCACCATAACAAACTGCCTCGGCTGGAAATCCAAGAGGACTATTGAACCCAGGGGGGAATGTGCCAAGTAAAACAGCAGTTTCACAAGACTCAGGCAAATCTGAGAAAGAGAAGATGAATATGCATGGGAAAAGCAGATGAAAAACAGCTATTAAATTGGAAGTAGAACAAAGGGGAGGGCATTCAATGACATTAAAGGCAGGGAAAAAAAAGCATATAGTACTTAAAAGGTAATTATATGTATGCTACAAAATTTATTATCAACATTGCCACAGGATTTGACTGGTAAGTAGTTTAGCAACATTTTTTAAAAACGTTCATACACAAAAAGAGACATTTGCAGTTAGAGGAACTACAGGAGAAAGCTGCGAGGAAAACAATAGCAGCCTTCATGTTTCAGGAGCTATATTGATTTGCTAGCTGAAATCAGAAGGGTTTTTTCCCGCTCTGGCATAGAATTAATGCATTCTCCTCCCTTCCCCCATGCTGCTCCATACAGACTGAGGCTCCATGGTCATTAATACCAGATTCATGCCTTGCTGCATCACTCAGCAGTACGAATTTGGGCACACAATCGTGCTTCTGAAGAATTAGCCAAAGCATGCAATGTATTTATTGCCAGCTTTTTCGCTTTTATGTCAACTTTCTGGCAGCAGGGAAAGGTCAGACAATACCTGATCCAGCACAAAGCTCGGTAAACGATTTCTGAGCAAACTAGAGGTAGAAGAGTGCATTCATACTGCACCATCACTTTGTTCAAGTAGCTTTTTGCAGCAGTTTTCATTCAGTAGCGGGAGCCCTGGCATCAGACAAAGTGGGTATCGCCAGGTCAGTGTGCCAGGCAGACCCACGCCACCCCTCGCCGCCTCCGACAGCGATCTGCGCAGGCGCGCGGGTTTGTTCACTTGGAATAGCTCACAGACTCGCTCCTATCTGATGTGGCTCATCAGAGGGGAATCCCATCCGTTTAGACGCCCTAATTAGGAAACAGGACTAGACAGTGCCAATGTAAGGTCTGTCTGTATGAGTGTCTTTGTCAGTCAAAAGATTATTAAAATCTTAATGCCACCGTACCAGACCTCCCCACCAGCTAATCTGGCATCATGGGTTTCTAGCTCTGCAGAGACTTTGGCACATTTGAGAAGATGAGGTGCTGGAAAAGCTATGTAGAAGCCAGTATGGAATAGTTTGTAAGCAAAAGTGGAACTCCACAGGCCAAAAGAAATTACTCTGGAAGCCCTGATGCTATTTTAACTTCATTAGTGAAGCGATCACAAGAATCCCAGCTTCACATCCCGCAGCTGAGCGAGCACGGTCGCCACACTCCCCCTCTGGCTTGGATGGCAAGGCTCCTTTTCAACATTGCGGACCGCATGCAGGCAGGGATTTTATTTTGGGACTTGCGTTGTGTTTCTATTTTGCCCAAAGCATTTCTTATTGACATGAAGGTACCCATGCTTCTACTTGATCCTCTCTTTCCTCCTGGGAACCAAACAAGTAGTACTGAACCCCCAACTGAGACCTTGAGGCAAACCATAACACAAGCTATAACCAAAACAAGTGCCATGTCGTAAGTCATTTATGTTCCTGGGGAGCTGAAGAGTCCCTATGTGGGGGATGCTTAGGAGACAAGGCGGATCTCACTAAGGGGATGCGATCCTAGCACCTACAGCAGGAGGAAAGCAATTTAGTACTGTTTGTAGTACAGCAATACCTAAAGGGCTAAGCTCAGAAACATCATACAAACAGATGGGGAGAGACAGGCTGCTCAGCCTGCTGCCTAAAATAGATAATACGCAGAAAACAACGGGCTCAGAGCACAGCGGGGTGGCTTTCCCAAGTCAGACCCAGCCTGCTGAGGGGCCTCGCTAGGAAAGCCCCTCTGTGGAGTAGAATATATAGAGGGAAAACTAGAAATATGCCATAATACTGGGTATGAACCACCACCCCAGCCCTGAGCAAGACTTCATGGCCATGTCCTCCCAGATGCAGCTCTCTTAACACTGCTTTAAAGAGAAGGGGCATAAGGGGAGAGGCCAGGCTAGGGCTACTGTAATGTGACTTAAAAGGAGTGAAAGCAAAATGATTTCAGGACAATGTTGGGAGCAAACAGAGCATCAGCATGACAGTCCCGTTTGCCCCGGCAGTCACCACGGGCATTTACCCAGTGTGCGGTCTAAGGGCCACCGATAGAACTCCCTTTGTTTTGTTTTCTTACTTTAAATCTCTCCTCCCAGGGGGTCTGCAGAAGCTGAATCATCTCCAGGGGGGATCCCAGCTCCAGCATAGCTGTGACCCGTATCTCAGCATCTCCGCTGTTATCGTAGCATTGACCGTGCAGCTGCCGGGAGGGAAGAAGCGACTGTCAGACCCAGTGCCAGCAGGTCCGGGCCGCCGGGAGACAACGAGTGGCCACACGGGCGACTCGACTCAGCCCCGGCACCGAGGAATATCCCCGCCCCC